ATGACTCACTTGTCCTTTTTGTCATAGATGTTTAGCCCCAGTGCGTCCACCCCTAACCACAGCTCTGAGCCTTTCTTGTTCTTGATGTTGAAATAGTTGACCCCATACATCTCCAGATCCTGTGCTATCTTCAGGTACTCTAACATTGCATCTTCTCTGTGTGGAAGAAAGTATCATTATGAACAAAACACCAGAATGCAAAAAAAGTGTATTCAAACCTTTTGTTTTGTTTTGGTTTTTTTGCAGTAAAACTGTAGTACCTGAGTATCCCTTTATGCTCTTTATGCCACACCTGGATTCTTTCCTCCCACTGACTCTTGTTCAGCTTGTGCTGCTCCAAAACCCTGGTTCAGTCAGTAGAGTAGGTACGCCAGTTAGAGTTAAGGTCGCAGAAACTCGAAATTAAGGTGAACTCTGGCTAATGCTAATATTCACAGGATGTGCTACCTCTGTGGCAACAGCTTCTCTTTTGCGAGATATCCCGGTACATGATAATCGTCCCTGTAGTCTCCGAGCTTGACCTGAACAGCGTATGAGGCCAAGAGCACCGCAGTCTCAGGTGGACAGTATATATCATCATTTAAGATGCTCTCCTTTACCTAAAATAGAGAACAAAAACTCACGAATAACCCATTTTATAGTAGGACAAGGATTGCAGTATTGATGTATAAATACACAGAGAGAAACCCTGTGTATTCTTGTCTTTAACTAGTGCACCCGAATGCACATTTTCCAAGGCAAGCACTCTCTTATGGAAACAATGCAAAACCTGCTGTTTCTTTTTACTGAAATTTGTATTATTCCTATTGTTGTTGTTGTTTTTTTTTTATCTAAATGCAAATGTTTCTTATGTTTCAGTAAATTTGCCATTTGCAATAAACTGTGAGTCGTCTTAATGGAAAAAACAAATGGTTCCACATGAATTAGAATGACTAGGAATGCTCATCATTGCAATTTTTGGTGCAAATTTACATAACCTTCCTTTCAAAAGCTTGGGTTTTTGTAAATGTGCTCATCTCCAACCTGCAGAAAAAAGAGCCGCTGAGTTGCCTCTTGGATCAGCTCTTCGGCGACATCCTCGGGGTAAAACTTGGCCCTGAACTTGATCAACAAAGGGTTGTCCCGCTTCACATCTTGAGCAGTCACCTGATTTATTTGTGTTTTTTTACAAGCAGAGGGATGAATAAGTAGCTAATAATTAGCCTCACAATATGACACAGTGGAAACAATTTACATCTCGTTCACCTCACCCTCTTGTTCAGCTTGAGCCAGGTGGAGAAGCCTTTGCTGTCCTTATATTGAAGCCCAAAGAACCACGTCTCCCTCAGCCCGATTGTCTTCACTATCTAAATACATGAAGGAACACAATCAAAGTCATGCTTTTGCAAGTCAGATGATGTCTTTGACTGTACTTGCACGGCATACCTGGTCAAAAAGCTGTTTGCCAGTTGTGCTGGGCAGGATGGCAAACTCCAGCTCTGCATCCATGGTTGTAACTCGGACATTTATCTGCCAGAGAAAAACACTCTCACTGAGATACAGGGGGAAATGCTCCCTGCTGTGCATTCATCTGCGTCACTGGAGAAGCATCAAGGAGCATGGAGAGCAACTGGGTGGAAAAAAAGAGCACTACAAAATCTGTACTAACATTGTTCGTTAAAAAAATGCTAAATTTCTTGGTTCTTTTACAGCAAAACAAAAAGAGAGTGTTCCTTACATTCTTCTGTTCAACCAGGAGCATCCAATCGCAAGAGGTTGGTGGGGACTACAATCAAAAAATGAAGCCCACAGTGTATTTTAGACTTAACTTGCAACATGTTGGGTTTTTTCCATGATGCATTAGTAGTATTTATAATGATGGGTCAAAGTAGCGACACCATATATATAGCACATATTTTTTGCAGTTGTTGATATAGACCAGGGGTGTCAAACATGTCGTTTGGGGGCCAATAAAGATTCCACTCTGGTCCACTAGCTGACTTTGGAAAATGTGAAGGAGTGCATACATTTTAAAACTTAACTGTATTTTCAGACGTTTTATGTTTTTCCTCCTGATAAAGACATCCCTCATGTTACACTAAAGTAGTTAAACAACAGTTTTTTCACTATCTACTATTGAAATGTCTGTTTTTTCCAAATTTGTCGACAGTAAAAACAACATTTTCTGTGACTTAACAAAAATTTTCTGCTTTATAATTACAGCACAGTCCGGCCAATGAGCTGCTAGATGCTTTTCTGTAATTTTGCACATGTATTTCTCACAATTTAAGCACAAAGAGCTGACAAATTTCTCTCACTTACTACAGCAGCGTTTCTTTATCATGTAGCAAACAAAGATAACTCAGAGATTAAATGTGTAGTTAAATTTCTTTAGACCCACAGAAAGGGGAGTTTCACTCTTCCAGGCCAATCAAAGTGGGGTGTATGTGGCCTACAATCTAAAATGTAAGTTTGACATCCCTGGTATAGATTGACTTGTAAAATAGCGAAAAAACAAAAAAACACCAACGTGGGGGGGAAATTGTTTGCGCTGTTCCCCGTAAGGCTTTTTAAAGCTTTATTAAGCTTCCATTAGAACCTGATTTAATTATGACAGAAACAATAACAATGTCGCACAGCTGATAGTCTCACCGAACACACTGTTTCAGTGAATAGGCTACACATGAAAGAAAGAACAGAAAGCTCAACTTTGCAACTGTTTTGTTTGTATAGAGAAAAAACTGAAACAATAAGCTTCGATACATGCAGGAACACAAATGCAAATAATCAGAAACACCTTTTTAATATCACAGCTTGATAAGAGAAGCACTAAAAATACCTCTAAGAATCTTGTAGCTTTTACAGACGAGGTCCAATTGCCATACTTAAACCACTTATGTAGCGCAGTATAATAAAAATATAGAAAGATAATAAAAGTCAGATTACTTACAGTTGACATTTGTATTCTGTTTTAACCTATAGTCAAAACACTTCTTCAGAGAGGTGCTTGTAGTTGCCTTTTTGCTGCCGAGTCATATGAAACTGCTTGCAATACCTGCAAGGATTATACTGAATGAGAATGGGCCATTGTATTATTCCCAAGTACTTTTCATTTAGTTAATCCAGTGGCAGCCCTGGCCCACAGGTTTTAAAGTGGCAGCCTTCACCCACTGTCTACGCTTTTCTTCATGAATCATTGAGGTTTTGACCTTGTATCACTCGCAGTATCTCAATGAGGCATGGTGTGCGTCTGCCAAACCTGTCTGTAGACGGATACAAATCACCAGTAACTAACCACAGGCCATTATTTCTCAGTATCAGTGAATGCGGCAGTGCATTCCTCTAATCTATTAATCCTCTCAGAAATGTTCAACGCATATGTTGTTATGGCATACAGTTTAAAAAGGGAAGAGTGTTTGTTTTTTACTTCACCTGGAAGTAAACTGCAATAAGCCCCCCCCCCCCAAAAAAAAAGTTATACTAAATATTCCTTGTTTATGCACTCCATAGACTCTAAGATCATACATTTTCAAAAGTACATTTTTCTCAGCTTTACAAACACACACAACCAAGTACAGAAAGTTTGAAGAGTTAGAAACATCTAAACTTGTGAAGTGAAAAAATTATGTTTCTGCAGTATTTAAACACCAGCAGTGTGTTTTTAAGTAATTCTATGGAACTGATCCCTCTAACCGCCTTGTGCACATTGTCAGAAGTTACTGATTTGCATCCCTTTTGCTGAAGCAGTGTTCAGATTACACTCGGGGGGATTCATCAGAGTGTACTCATCAGAGCCTTGTTAAAGAAAATGAGTTTCCAGCCGTTGTTCTTGTGGTATAACAAGAGAAGTCTGGGACTGCATACCTCCTCCAAGACTGAAAATTTCCTCCATAACATGAGTTTAGTCTCCCAGATCCAAAAGGATATCTTGATCTGGATTAGTTTGTGTTATTTCTTGAAGACATCATGATAATGTCTCCCATTTCCCTCCGTATTTCCATAACTTTTTGATAAAACCTTCTCTCAAATTAGAACAGGCAGCTCAAACTAATCACACAACCTCCTTGGCTAAGGTAAATTTGGTTGTCCTGCCAGTTTACAGCAGAAAATTTCAAAGGGAAACCATGAGCAATGTAGAGTTTGACAAAATCAGCGACAGTCTGACCAAAGAGTAGCACTCAGTTATTTAGGGACATGCTCCAACTTCTGGCTTGCACCTTTGTAGAAAAGGATTCATACTGCAGTGCCGTAATAAGCCCAAACACACTTCCGAGCTGTGCAAGAACTACTTGAAAGAAGACCAGAGAGTGCTGTCTTTTGTGCGCTTTTCTTCCACAGTCACCTGACCTCAACCCCATCACACTTTCATGGAGCATAACAAGCATCAACCCCGCGGGAGAGCTTGGGAAGTACAATAGAGAAATTCTTAATTTCATGAACAAGTTTTCAGAATACTCTCTTAATTTAAACTATTAAGCTGGTCTTATTTGTAAAAACTGTGCATGCTATGGATTCAGTACTGCAAATTAATGCTTGGAAATAGCACTTTAGACTTTGACATTTTGGCTTAGATCTGATGACATGTTTCCCACTGCCAGTGCTACTCCGTAAGCTGGAAACTTGAGGCACAGCCATATTTATAACAGGTGGTGAACAATGACTGCATGATGATTTAGCTGAATAAGACTCTGATGAGTACATCAAATCCATCTGAACCTCAGTGAAAGGTTACAACTTAAGGAAACGTGATCTGTTGCACAAAGCACTTAACACAGTCACAAGTATATATATATATATATATATATATATATATATATATATATATATATTATATATATATATATATATATATATATATATATATATATGGTTCTTGTGCTTTGTTTGTTTGTTAAATAGCTTTTATATAGTTACTTTAGAGAGAGGGAGTGGACAGTTTGTACTTGAGTGTCTCGCAGGTTGCTTGGGGTTGCTTGGAGCAGGGGGCTCGCGGTTCCACTTGTCATTACGTAGCCACGCTTTTACAGTACGGACGCGTGCTCGTGTGCGCGCTCGCGTTGGCTATTGTGTTTTTATCAACAAGGGGACCACCCTGGCCTCGCGGGTAACTGAGCTGGCCAGCTGAACGACTAGTGACTGGTGAATGATGGCAGACGAACAAGAAATAATGTGCAAACTGGAGAACATCCTGGAGATACGGTAAAACTCAGATGTCGGATACAGTTAAAGGTTGCCTGAATGTTTGGCACGTACTAAGTATACGCTATGTTAGCTAACATTAGCCGACCAAGGTAAAAGCCCCTTTGGCTTCGCTTTTGTTACTGAGCTAGCTAATATTAGCCGACCTGCTCTGTGTCCTTTCTTTAAACAGGTTTGAGCGAGTGTAGCTCTGTGTTAACTTGTTTTTGACCGAAGTGGCAGGCGGGCTGAATATGACACATATAAGCAAGTTGTAATTTAACCGCATATTTGAGCCATGTGCATCCACATTCCAGATGTGTGACAACAAGATGCCAGATGTGCGTTGCTAATTGTTACTGTCTGCCAGGTAGCTCCTTAGCTTAGCAGGCTGTCGGTGTAATGTAGTGTAGTGCAAAGTAATGTTTCCCTTGCTATAACGCTTTGATAAAGTAATTATGTATGAATTAATTACAGTGCAGGCTCACTTAAATAGGTCATAACATTACTGCAATTAGAGCTTAGAAATATGCACAAATTCAATACCGCAAAGCAGATGGAAATGTGTTTGTGTTTGCTTTTATGTTTAAAATCTTTTGCGCCGTGTGCATAGGAGTGACTGAGACAACCTGGCAGCTCATGTCTTTTTCCTTGTCCCACTGCCTGCAGGAATAAGACTATCCAAATGCAGAAGATTAAGTCTCGTCTGAAGATTGAGTTTGAGGCTCTGGAGTCTGAGGAGAAACATTTGAAAGAGTACAAACAAGAAATGGATCTCCTGCTTCAAGAAAAAATGGCCCATGTGGAGGAGCTGCGCCTCATCCATGCAGATATCAATGTGGTGAGTGGGTGCTGTTCTCTAGTAAGTGCCACTAAATCACTGGTGAACTTTCATGTGATTTCACAACAACTTCTAGTCACTGCAGTGTCTGCTGGTGTAATGTAGCAGGATGAAAGATTCCAGTGGTTATATGTTACTACAGATAGCTTAGGCTGAGTATATTACATGTGCATTTCTCAAAAATCAGCCCCTGCTTTGCTTGTGCTTTTAGATGGAGAGCACGATCAAGCAATCAGAGAATGACCTCAATAAACTGCTTGAAACAACTCGGCGCCTGCATGATGAGTACAAACCACTGAAGGAGCATGTTGATGCCCTGAGGATGACTTTAGGTCTACACAGACTCCCTAACTTGAATGAAGAAGAGGAGAAGCTCTCCTTGGAGTCAGTAAAAACACACACACACACACACACACACACACACACACACACACACACACACACACACACACACACAGTGCATCCAGCGTCATAATATTTATGCAGTAAATCTCATCAAATTTTCTTGTCAACATTAAGTAGTTGTGCATACTACTACTTGTTCAGTAGTTCAGCTGTTGAGTTTGTCTATTGCCCTCTTGAGATATTGCTGTCTAGATGCAACAGGATGGAAATGATAACAAAGAATGCAGTGCTGTTAAAAGACAATGTGATCTACAGTGTGTCATGGGTAGAAAAAATACAGCAGTTTGAAAAACTGAATACAAATTTAGTGAGAATGTTATGACTTCATATTGTTTTAGTTGTGCAGCTAATATCCACCAACTTATCTCCACTTAGAGGGAAGCTGCATCACGTAAACAACATTAAATATGATTTCCTGCTGGAACAGTAGACTTGAGTGACCTCTTGTTTCTTTAGTTTCCTTTCAAAGACCCAGACTTTCTTGTACTTTTTGTAAAGTGGTATTGAGCAATAGTTCTCCAGGTTTTCAGAATGTTTTTCAAACTTATTCTTTGGATACTGGCTGAATTCTAGTCCTTGTACATAGGGCTGGACAACTGATTGAAAATCAATCAAAGCTGTCATGGATGTGACTTGTAACTTTTGATTTGTGGTCATACAGCCCAGCCTTACCTGCCCATTTTCAAAGGACTGTTGTTTATTTTTTAGTTAAGCTACTGAACACTGAATCATTCAAGCATAGACACCTAACCCAACCAGACAAACCAGTGCTGTATCTACACATAATAGATAAATTAGCAAAACAATAATTTTAAATGATTACTAGCAACCGATTCTTTTAGTTGAATCTACAAAAATACCATCGTTACCACAGTTTGACAGGCATAAAATAGCATTTTTGTACCGACAAGCTGATTCCTAGATATTAGCCAATAACTTAGCATATTTGTGTCCTTTAAAAAAATTGAGGAAACTGATTAGTGGGAATTGCATTTGGCCCTTTGAACTGGTGCCTTATACGCCCTGTGTTGATCCACAAAACAAGGCACAGAAAGGCAGCCAACAACCAAAGAAGAGCTTTGGAATGTCCTTCAAGAAGCCTGGAGAAGTATTACTTTTTCAAATTTCAAGGAAGTGATTTCAGGCTCTGTTGAAAAGTAAAGATTTCCATACAATATATTGACTTTAAAGCTAGTTAAAGTGGTAAAAAAACGTTTTGTATACTTGCATGTTTCATTAAATCGCTACACTTATTTCCCATTTCCCAACAAAATATAAACGAACAAGGCACAAAACAAGAGTTTTGCACAGTACTCTATATGCATACACCATTTTTTTTATGCTACATGTGGGAAATAAATGACCAGATGTTTCCAGTCTCAAGTATCCAAATCTGAACAGGCAGCATTTGAATAAAACTTCAGGAAAAGGTGACAATCTCACTTTAGCTGATGTATTTCGGTGATGTTAACAGACTGACATTATGTTTTGTGGAAGTGCTACCTGTTTACCTTTGGATACTTGACACTGGATTGCGGCTGATGGATTAAGACTACAGATGAGTATGCTAGGAAAGCTCATCCTCTTCAGAGATTGAATTAGCAAATTCCTTGGTGTCTCTCTTTGGCTGCTTTTCCAGCATTCAGAAGGACACATAGATCTGACCAACCACAATCACTAAACCTTAACTCCCTTATCACAGCCATCAGGTCTAATAGAAACCCTGTAGTCATTTTACTATAATGAAATAGAAGTATTTACACATTTAAATGTTGTCACTTGCAATGCCCAAAGGTAACCAGAATCATAATTAGTAGTTAACTTTATTATTGCATTTGCAAAAAAAAGGTCCAAAAGTGGAACCTTGTGGAACACCTCGTGTAATCATTGAATTTCAAATGGATGCAAATTTCCATTTGGTAAAAAAGAAATAAAAACACTCCAGTTCAAATCTAAGAGTCTGTTGCTTCAGGTAATAATGATACACAGGTGTTCGACATTAATCATGAAACACAACCAAGCAGCAGGTTTTATTTCTCAACAGGCCCCAACTTGTAATTAATGACCCGATGACAGGATCTGTTTCAGAGACACTGTGTCAGAGGGATCAAATCAAATCAAATCAAATCACTTTTTATTATCACATCACATGTGCAGGCACACTGGCACAGCACATGCGAGTGAAATTCTTGTGTGCGAGCCCCACAAGCAACAGAGATGTGCAAACACAACAACACAAACGAGCAAAATACAATGAAGCAACAGCGGAATTCATACTTGGAATTTATTATTGCATTATCCAGTCACTAATGGAAAGTGGTTTGTGCAAAGGCATGTTGTTATTTTTAAATTTTTTATTTTTTTGGCAAATGTGGCACATAAAAATATTCACACACAACCAAAGGACAGACAGCAATTTGGTTTCTACACAATTTTAAATGAGCGGGATTCTGTTGAGGTATTGCTGACGGGGCTAGAGGACTTGTATATTGGGATGAATTAATTCACACAGAGGGATCAGTCTAGTGCATCTCACTGTATTTTGATAAGGGTAGGGAATGTCAATAAAGAGATCTAAAAACACACTCCTAAATTTCTAAGATTAGAAAAATTTCGCTGTCAGTACTTAAAAAGAAAATGACACCAGGATGAGACATAAAATAGTTAGCCTTTAAAAACGTTTATTGTTCTTGTTGCTCTATTGCTCTACTTTTGCTGTAATTAAAACAGAGATTGCAGTAGTTACAGAAAGGAAGATTTACTTCTGGCTTTGGATCGCAAACAGCATTATCTAAGCATCAGGCTCAAAGTCTATTCAAGTGATTACAAAGTTATCAAAGTCCAAGACGTTATCTTTTGAGCAAACAGGATAGTATTTCAACAGTTGTGATGTAATGTTCATGAGAGAATCTGCCTGATCACGCAAATGAAAACAGTCAGTGACTTATGTGGCTATAATTGGCAGAGTAATGGCTCTCCTGTGACTTCTGTGCCTTGGCTTATTTAGTACCATCACACAGTAGTTAAGTCATTGGAGAAAACTGCTGAGATGAAAGACCATTGGATTGGATAAATATCTACAGAGAATGACAGCTGCCTTTCCCTCTCATCAATATGGTGGAGCAGGTCCTTAAAGGAAGACTTGACAGTGCTAAAACACAGGTGCGAAAAAGAAGGAGAAAATTCTTTTAAGAGCAGAAATTTGGCATGCTCCAGTGGCGAGGCAGATGATTTCCTGGAATACTGCTTCATTGTGTGGTCTCGTGGCCATCTCTGGTGTGTTGGATCCCTTAGTGTTTTTAATATTTGGAGTATTTGGTTTATACTAAGTTTAGTTTACAGTGGGGCAAAAAAGTATTTAGTCAGCCACCGATTGTGCAAGTTCCCCCGCTTAAAATGATGACAGAGGTCAGTAATTTGCACCAGAGGTACACTTCAACTGTGAGAGACAGAATGTGAAAAAAAAAATCCATGAATTCACATGGTAGGATTTGTAAAGAATTTATTCGTAAATTAGGGTGGAAAATAAGTATTTGGTCACCTCAAACAAGGAAAATCTCTGGCTCTCACAGACCTGTAACGTCTTCTGTAAGAAGCTTTTCTGTCCCCCACTCGTTACCTGTATGAATGGCACCTGTTTGAACTCATCATCTGTATAAAAGACACCTGTCCACAGCCTCAAACAGTCAGACTCCAAACTCCGCCATGACCAAGACCAAAGAGCTTTCGAAGGACACCAGGAAAAGTATTGTAGACCTGCACCAGACTGGGAAGAGTGAATCTACAATAGGCAAGCAGCTTGGTGTGAAAAAATCCAGACCTCAACCCCATAGAAAATCTGTGGCGGGAGTTGAAAGTCCGTGTTGCTCGGCGACAGCCCCAAAACATCACTGCTCTCGAGAAGATCTGCATGGAGGAATGGGCCAAAATACCAGCTACTGTGTGTGCAAACCTGGTAAAGACCTATAGTAAACGTTTGACCTCTGTTATTGCCAACAAAGGTTATGTTACAAAGTATTGAGTTGTATTTTTGTTATTGACCAAATACTTATTTTCCACCCTGATTTATGAATAAATTCTTTACAAATCCTACCATGTGGATTCATGGATTTTTTTTATTTTTTTTTTCACATTCTGTCTCTCACAGTTGAAGTGTACCTCTGGTGCAAATTACTGACCTCTGTCATCATTTTAGGTGGGGGAACTTGCACAATCGGTGGCTGACTAAATACTTTTTTGCCCCACTGTATATACGCTGCCAGTCAAAAGTCTTAGAACACCATATTTAAAAAAAATAAATGGTACAGAGGTAAGTGATGAACTAACTGAAGTTTTTTTTTTTTTTTTTTTTTTTTTTTTTAGTAGTAAGGTTATCCAAAACTGAAAACGATGTATATTTCAGCTATCCAAAAAGGTTTTTATTTCAAGGAACAAGAGATGGGTTAACAATTTATAGCTGTTCTGCAGCAATGGAGGTTGATTGAGCTTTCAAAGTTAGTGCTAGCGATTCCTACAGGTGTCCCAAATTTTCTTGATTACTTACAACTCCATATGTCTCCATAAAAGTACAAACACTGTGGTGTCGTACCTGCTTGAGCATTATTTGAACAGTATTGTACTGCAGAAAGTAGTGTGTTATAAAAATGGTGAGAAAAAGGCAATTACCAATGCAAGAGAGACAGACCATCATAACATTTGAAAGTGTAAGTTTTTCCTACAGAGAAATTGCGAAGAAAGTCAAGGTGTCAGCGAGTACGGTTTCCTTCACCATCAAAAAGCACTGAGAAACTGGGGGAAACGATGACAGGAAACCACAACAGAATCAGAAGACAGGTTTTTGAGAGTCAACAGCTGGTTTGCTAGGCGGCTCACAGGAACACAGCTTCAAACACAGCCTAATAGCAGTTGTAGGCACATCTCAGTTTCATCTGTGAAGAGAAGCTTCATGTTGCAGGTTTTACAAGTCGATTTGCAGCATGAAAGCCATCAGAAACCTAAGACATCAGAATGAGAAAAAGAGGCTTGTCTGAGCCATGAAACATCACCAATAGACTACTGAAGACTGGAAGAAGGTGTTATGGACTGATAAATAAAAATTTTAAATATTCAGTTCATCACTGAGGATTTAAGCAAAAGGATGGTTCCACACTGTGACATCAGCTTTCAAACATGGAGGAGGAAGCATAATGTTCTATGGCTGTTTTGCTTTGTGAGAGAGTGAGAGGCACACACTGAAGACGGCTACCACAGCATTCTGCGGCGCCATGCAGTTGCCTCTGGAATGCGCCTAGTTGGTGAGGAGTTCATTGTACAGCAGGAAAATAATCCAAAACATAAGTGCAAGCTATGCCAGGACCACCTTAGGAAACAAGGATAAGGTAGTAAGCTTGAAAACATGGAGTGGCCAGCACAGTCTCTCACCTTAAACCCCATCGAGCTGGTTTGGGATGAACTGGAAAGAAGAGTGAAAGCAAAGCAACCTACAAGTGCCACACATTTAACATAAGTCATTGCCAACATTGTAGTCTATGAAAATAGTGGATACCACAGCAATTGTGCCAGCTGTCTCAAACAAAATGGTAATATGAGGTGTAGTCCTGCTTTGGATGTTCATGCAAATCAAACTTAGTTACAGGCTTTTAGGTGCTTCGCTAAATTGGAAGTATTCCTCTCTTGGTTCTCGAATTACAGTAAAGAAGTAACAGTAACATTTTTTACATATTACGTTTTGGGAACTCAGTTAACAGTTCTGCAAAATATCTTTGTACCCCACTCTGCCTTTCTTATCAGTAAGTCTGGGTGGAGCCATTGCAACACATCTTCCACGTGTATTCCTATGCCTGAGCGTGTCTGCCTCCTTCTTCTTTAGCTTGTACAGATAGATTCAAACACTTAGGCCTGTGCTACCTACAGCACATATGGAATTGGGGAAGGAAAAAGCAAAAAAACAAGTTCCAGGACATTTTCAGTCTTTCCATTTTTTAAAGTTGTTGTAAGTATTACGTCTGGTGACATCCCTAGACTGTATTTGGATGGCAACAGAGAAACAACTGCAGTTATTTGTAAAGACTGGCAAGTTAAATCACCTCAACAGAATCAGCATGACTATATAAAGAGTAACTGGGGAAATATGTGCTATTAGAAGCTGGCACCTAAAATAGGGGTTATTAGAAACTGGCATTAAAACTCTAAAGACCAGTATTTACTTTTTTTTCACACACTTTTAGAGTCTCTGGCAAATTTTCTTGTCTTAGCAGGAACCTTTGAACACTTAGGTGTTTAAACATCAGATAGGTATTCTTGTGATCAACAGATTTGTTAGCCTGTTCAGACATTTAAGTCTAATATAAAATAATTCCACTTGTCTAGATTCCAGTTTCAGCTGCTGACAGAAATTTCTTGCTTCAAAAAGTTCCTGTTATCCACAACACCAGAGGTACATCTTCGCGGGGTGGGGGGGCTGATAAGTAGACTCCCAGCAGCACAAACTGCAGGCTGACATCCATCAACAGTAGGTGATTGTACATTTTACGATGTGGAGGAAATCATAGTTAATGGTCCTAATAGTGCAGTGGATCCCATTTTTGGGCTAGGAAGTGAAGTATTCCACAGCTTTGGCTTTGTTTATTGTATCCTCTACATTTTGCTGTATAGGTGCAAATATTTTAAAGTGATTAAATTAATACTGCAAATGCATGTTGTTTTTTTCAGGTCTGTGCTAGCACAGCTGTAGAAAAGCAGTCTTCAGTGGAGATATCACACTTGTGTATTTTCACTAATGATTCTACCAGACTGATGATGATCTGGGCCCGTATCCCTAAAGAATCTTTGTGCAAAAAGTGGCTCCTAGCGGCCAAATTCTAAGAAAATTCTCAGAGTCATGACGTTTTCTTAGAATTTCCCCTAAAAGTGACACAACAATCCCAGTTAATATAAAAGCTATTCCTCAAGATTCCTAGCGCTTAAAAGGGCTCCTAAGGCGAGATCTGCTAAGAGCAGGGAAGAGGACTTTTAGTGGCTTAGGAGTTCCCCTAAGCAGCTGCACAAAATGGCCAACAGAAGAGGCAGGAGAGATGTCCTGCAAACACTGGATGACAGAGAATTATTGAGACGCTACAGATTGGATCGTGCAGGAATCATGTTTGTGGTGGATCTCCTTAGAGATGCAATTACTTCACCAACTCGACGCCACAACACTATTACACCGGAGACGAAAGTAATCACAACCCCGAGGTATTTGGCAACCGGGAAAATGCAACAATGCAGCAGTGATGACTTGGGTCTGCAATCACAGACATTGCTAAAAGCTGAGCCGTGTTACCCTCGTTAAGACCACACTGGACTTGTAACGTTGTGATTTCTACTTCATTAAGGACAGCCCCTTGAGATAGGCCATCTTGTTTTCAACAGGGTCCATATGGGAGTGAAAGTACAAAATATGTCAGCTAGGATATTAATATGAGCAAATAAGACACAAATCATTATTTTAACAGGGTGTAATGAGTTTAAGTTTTCACATATTTTAGATTCTAATGGCTATAACCCCTACAGCTTACTATTCATTTTCCAGATATTTTCTTGAATGTGAAATATTATTTACAATTACAGTCAGCATAAGATTAGAGTGTATAATTATGTTTATTGATTTGAGGGTACATCCTTTGCTCATTATCACCAAAAGCTCATTTCCATCAAACTTGTAGGATCAACCAATCACGGCTTTTGAAATGATGACTCATACCTAGCAACGGGGTCAACCACACCTCACTAAGATAGGATTTTCCATCCATTCCTTGCTCAGAGTTCACTGAAAATGTTCTGGAATCACTTCTAAGCTAAAACTCCTGGCAAGGAATTTTTAGGTTAAGTTAGGAGCTCTCTGAGAGGATTCTCAGAATCTTTAGGGATACGGGCCCTGGTATTTCTCTCGCAGTATGTGACATTCCTCCCTATGCAAGGAAAAACTTTCTAACTTGAAAGCACATAGGGGGAAAAAAAGAAAGAAAGGGGTGTCAATATATTTGCTGTTGGGGAAATTCGGCAGGCTGACATTGTTGGCAGTTTGGATTCTTAATTTGGCCGCGTGCTATGAGGAAGCTTAGCTGATTAATTCATTTTTGGCCAGGTGGTAATCTTCCTTTTTTCTTAGTGGCATGCTCCTTCATGTTCATCCTGAATGTATGAGATACTTGAATACCAACTTTAGTACTTGGTAAATGCAAGTTCTGGCTTATACCGCTGTTGTTCTTAAGTGCTTTTCATACACACAAGTCACCACAGTGAGAAAAAGATTCATGAGAAGTCGGAGGAGACGTTTGAAGCACCATTTGCTCGAGTTTCGTTGAGTAACCGTACTTAGTAGTAATAGTAGCCACTGTAGTTGTATCACAAGTTGTGTTGGAGCGGTTTCTGAGAAAATTAAATCACACCTCACAGGCCTGTGGGGTGCTGCTGGGTATTTTTTTTTAAAGAGACCGTATAAGAGTGATGTCTCAGCACACAAATGAGCACGCTACACCTCCATAATAGCAAGAAAACCTCACACTGAGGTATTAACTTGTATGAAAACAAAAATGGCACATAAACTTTTAGCGCATGAATCGATGTGTGTGTTAATGTGGTGCTTGCAAATGATCTTTATTGTTCGGAGCATTGGTGGATCATCGAGTTTGGTTTGTGAATGCTCAAAGTTCTGCTCTATCGCAGACTTATTTTGAGAAAAATCAGAGCGTAATGAAATAGGATATCACTTTTTTTTTTTTTTGAAAACGAGCCAGTCAAGCATAAAGTCCAAGGCCACATTTCTTTTTCCAGCCCTCCCCTGCCCACACACACACACGTTTGTATGCATGCAGACAGTCTCACATGACTGTGCTTTTGCTCAAAGTTGTGCATAAAAAGAGAATGTGTGAGTTCCACTATAATGTTCAATTTAAGTCTTCCTTTTGTTCAGTTTTTGCCGCCCCTCGTCTCGTGGTGCACGGTGTAGATGGGGTAATCTCAACTGGAATATGATTCATAAGCATTAAATAGGACTCACTGCTAGCCAGGTTTCGCTTTTCCTTTTGAACAGTTACTTTGAGAAGCAGAAGGCAGAGTGGCAGAAGGAGACGCATGAGCCTGCCATTCCAGAATCCCTTGCTGCCGCCGCAGCCGCAGCACAGCAGCTTCAGGTGTCCAGGAAGCAAGATGCCCGTCAGACAGCCACCTTCAGACAGCAACCTCCACCTATGAAGGTATTACCTACACACAGATAATGATGCCAAAGCACTGTGAATTTAACTGACATAAACTTCAGCTATTTATACACCAATCAGGCATAACATTCTCACCACCCGTCTAATATTGGGTCGGTCCCCCTTTTACTGCCAAAACGGCTCCGACCCTCAGACCCGATCCGCAGACCCTCCACTAGACCCCTGAAGGTGTGCTGTGGTATCATAGCAACAGATACTTTCACTCCTGTAGTTGAGAGGTGGGATCTCCATGTATCAGACTTGTTTGTCCAGCACGTTCCACAGATGCTCGACTTTGGAGGCCAAGTCAACACCTCAAACTCGTTGTTGTGCTTCTCAAACCATTCCTGAACTATTTCTGCTTTGTGGCAGAACACGTTAATGGTCTGCAACAGTGGTAGGTGGTACGGGTCAACCTGGCAGAACAATATCCAAAGCATTGCGCTGCTTCTGCTGGCTTGCCTTCTTCCCATAGGGCATCCTAGTGTCATGTAGTCCTTGGGTAAGTAACGGACATACACCTGATTCATCAGACCAGGCCACTGTCTTCCATTACTCCGTGGTCCAGTTCAGGGGGGGCAGGGATAGCTCAGTAGGTAAAGTGGTCGCCCCATGATCGGAAGGTCGGCGGTTCGAATCCACTTAACGGCTACCCTGAGGTACCCCTGAGCAAGGTACCGTCCCTACACACTGCTCCCCGGGCGCCTGCTTAGTGGGCTGCCCACTGCTTCACTGAGTGAATGGGTCAAATGCAGAGAAAAACAAGTAATTTCCCCATGGGGATCAATAAAGTATCCATTATTATTATTATTATTATTATTAATGCCAATCTTGGGTCTTTCGGTGGTGGACATGGGTCAGCATGGGCAGCCTGATTGGTCTGCAGCCCTGTAAACAACAAACTGTGATGCTCTGTGTATTCTGACACCTTTCTGTCAGAACCAGCGTTAACTTTTTCAGCAGTTTGAGCCACGGGACCTCGTCTCTTGGATCAGACTAGACAAGCCAGACTTCACTCCTCACATGCGTCAGTGATCCTTGACCGTCTATGACCCTGTCAGTGGTTCACCACTGTTCCTTCCTCGGACTTTACATAGATACTGACCACTGTAGACTGGGAACATCCCACAAGAGCTGCAGTTTTTTAAACTCTGACCCAGTCATTTAGCCATCAGTTTGGCCTTTTGTCAAACTCTCTCAAATCTTTACACTTGCCCATTTTTCCTGCTTCTAAAATCAGCTTTGGGGACAAAATAAGGACAAAAGATAAATTTAATTTGTGACCTGCCCACTTTTCATTGCTTGTGGCTATTTCTGTACAAGTTGATGAGTTTCACTCGTGTCTTTCTTTAGTGGTGCTTCAGTCAACAGACACTATCCGATGGATTACGTAGCTGCATGAAACCTGTGGTGCTTCTTATCTGTACAACACAAGAAAGTCCTCAAATTAAGTTCTCGCACTAACCACCTCCACCTTTCTCCAGGCTTGCCTGTCCTGCCACCAGCAGATTCATCGTAACGCTCCCATCTGTCCATTATGTAAGGCTAAAAGCCGCTCCCGCAACCCAAAGAAGCCCAAGAGGAAGCCAGATGAGTAGACTCCCACCTTTAGCTTCAGAGGAGTATAAAGACAACTGGTCCAAGACACTGACCTTGAATCAGCCGTGTACAGTCCACGACTGGTCTGACAGGTCTGTGTTTCCAGTTTCCACACAGTCCCCCCAGTTTAACAAACTGTCTTAGTAACTTGCTCCTAACCTGTCAAGATTTGGTTGAGCATCTAGTAATGTTATTTTGTAGTTTTTCCAGTGCTTTGGATGTGTTTATATGTAATGTACGACTTCCATGGTAGTTTATTAGCACCTGACAATTGTAATTGTAATAATGCAGAAAATTTGAACTTGTCTGAATAATGTTGCCCGTGTTGCTATTGGTTATTGCCTTGGATATTTTACTGTATTTTCTCGTTTCTTTTGCAGTGCATGCCTGCTGCCACGGCTGTCTGTTGTGTTTTTGTTTTGTTTTTTTGTGCCAAGATAAAATCGAATAGGTTTAAAAGTGAAATGCAACACAGTGTTGTTTTAATGTTTACAGTGTTTCAGTAACCACCAAAACTGGAGGGGAAAAAAGGCCAGACTCATTTGCTTTGAATAGTTTTGTGTGTTTAATACAATGATAAGAAAATAAACTGCTGTTTTGTACTAACCCTGTTAGTGTGCATTTCCCCCCCCCCCACCACCACTATTACACTCAAAACAAAGGCTGGACATTTGTGTTATTTAGGGGTGTGAATGTAAACAGCTGCTGCCGAGCAGTGCAAGTTGGTGGGTTTAGCCTGTGTTTGAAAATAAAGAGGCAAGAATATGTTCGACTGCACTTACGCCACTGTCCCTCGCTCCATTAATACCGCAGCTGTCATGTCTGCAGCTATCTGTCTGAAAAAGGACAGTGAGGTCTCCTAAATGAGTTCCTGTAGCTTTTTTGTCAGGGTAACCCCTCATTTCATCTGTTGCCAGGGCAACTCCACGTTCCTTAGCGGTTGCTAAGGAAACCCAGGTTGCTGTGACCTGCATATCTTTGCCAAGTAGTTCCTCTCAGATCCAGAGAGGGGCATTGGAGGGCTTTGAGAGATTCTGTGCCAACTCCCCCTAAAGTGTCCAATCCTATAAGAGAAAAAAACCCAGAATCAGATAACAGATGTGATCAGTTACTCTGACATGCATGTAAGCTGGCGGGTTAGCTTAAGATGATCACCTCTTAACAGTCACTTACCCAAACGTGTGTTTAGTCTGGACTTTAGGGCTTGGATCTGCAGTTGTGTCTTTTTCCTCCTGATAAAAGTTTTCAAGGCCAGAGAAGCCTGTTCCTGCGCGCACACGCTGCACACAGCGGGACCGTGCAGCTCCACCTCTGCAACCTGTCAACAAATAAGAGCACATGAAGGCTGAAACAGCCGTAATGACATCCAGACAGGGCGAAACAGAGTCACACAAGGATGTTTCATAACCCGTCTCATCTCCTCCTTCAAGGTTTTGATCCTCAGCATCGTAACTAGTTGAAAGGGGGCGTGTGGGACAGCGGGACCTTGACCCACATGAGGGGAGGCTGGGTCTATGTTGCGTTCAAGAACATGGAGGTTACTCCCTCTGTGCGCTGATGCAACTTGTCTCTCAGTTTCGGGCCAGTTGCTCCCTTTGGCTCCTCCATGTTTGTGCTCCCGGGGGCACTGGCGCTTGTTCCGGACACGAGAAATCATTGTTCTGCAGTAGTTTCTCAGCGCTTCCTCCTCTTCCATTCTGTGCCAAACAGACGCAGAGCTTCACTGCTGTCTATTTAAACGATAAAGTGGCATTCAAGAAAATGAATACCGCAACCGATTAACCTCGACTAAGTTTAGCTTATGGCGCTAAATTAAGTGTTGGCACCAAGTGTTTATTTTTTGGGAGGGATAACAGAGTATCGAAACCAATCGTTGTTGTTTAGCTAAGCCAGGCCCTAGTAAAACAATTGAAAACGTGGCACACGGCTCATTAAGAAAGTGGCTTTCCCAACACGTCACTCGCTTCTTTAGTTTTTACTACAGCTGCACTTCCTGCCATCACTGCGCCACTACCTCCATCTGGCGGTCGACGGGGGAATTTAAAGGGTACCAATAAAGCATATTTAGTTTTTTTCTTTTCTTTCAATTCAATTAAATTAAGAAACTATTTCTAGACTTTAATAAAACAGAACATTATTGTTCTTGATGTTATTATTATTATTACATTATTGTTTTATTAAGGGCTAGTTGAAGTTTCTTAAATTTCTTTGCAAGCTCCTTTGACTACGATGACCTGGATGACTGAGAACCTTCACAGACTTAAATTAAGAAACTTCTTACTTTAAAAAAGAGAGCGATGTTGTGCAGTTAGTTACACATATGTTTATTTAAAAGAAATTTAAAAATGGGACTGTTGTGTTTAAAATTTGGTGCTATTTTGTGTGCAATGTATTAATTGTAAAAAATTATAAAAGTAGTACAGTCAAGTTTAGTGACACAATACTTTTTTGATGTGATATGTCACAGCAGGGAATGTGACGTGAAGGACTAAACATTTCCAGCAACCGGATTGCTTTCATGGTCTGCATAGTTTATTTTCAAACTGTCTCACTGATGTTATTAGTTTGGCTGTGGTCAAAAAAAAGCCCACTGTATTTCTTATTGCATTTTTATTCCAGCTTAGAGATTGCGCCATTTTTCAGTCCGTGTTCTTGAAGTTTGCATTAAAAGCCAATCCTCCATGTCTGTATTTAATTGCTCTTTGTGCTCAAATAAATTAAAACCTCTTCGTGGGGTTTGAACAATGCTAGGAATCTGGTGTCTTGTGCCATCTGCTGAAAGAGTGCTGTGTGTCAGAGCCTCCCTTCTGAACGTGGGACAGCATGAAGACATGGGTGGGTTTGGCAGGGTAACAGCTGACTGGCTTCCTCTCTGAAGACCCTGACAGTCACACAGCTGACACTCACCAAAATGGCTCCCTCAGTGTGAACCAGGCAAAGCGGGGTGATGACAGGACACATGCAGCAGAATAACCACTCTTCTTAGAAAAGAAATATAGAAGCGCAGCACCTTCCAGCTTATCATGCCACACACGCTGACCTGTGGCAAAGAGACAGCAATGTCCCAGAGATAAGTCACACTGGGCAATCGCTAAGTGTCACAACTCTATCACCTTTCTAATTATAAACATGAGACTCAAGTCTCCAAGAATGGAAGTTTAGTCAGGCCCATCTGTGGCCTAAAATTAGCCCCCAAACACCCCCCGCCCCACCCCAGAAAGGAGCTCTGGCACCTTTGTCAGTTTAAGCACACACATACACACACTGCACTTTTCTCAACTCGTTGCACCAGTGGAAGCATTGGGCATTCCTCAAGGACCTTTACTTCACGTGACTTGTGTTTTATTGGAGCTCTGAAAGGGTTTCGACTTATCCCGTTGGAAACACCATCAACAAGCAACAAGGTGAGGTAGGTGTCTTCCCAGTGTAAATCCCACACTGCTGCAGTTGCAGTTGGCACAAACTGATTTATCTCGTGATTGCGGTGTATGCTTGTGAGCCTTATTCTTTCATGTTTCTGCTATTCTGATGTTAAAAAATGAGTCTTAACATAAGCCGATAGACAAGTTATGGTGTTATGGTCTTTCTCTGCTGTTGCAGATGAAAGGGTTTTAACTTGAACTAGCCTGGAGTCCCAGTATGGTTCTGGGCCGAGCTGCCAACATGAGTTTGATGGACATTTCTAAGATCTTCTCCCTGCTCCAGCCCAAGGAGGAGGATGAGGACGGCGAGCAGAGTCAGGCTCTGAACAACGCCGTGAGCAGCGACGATGTAGCTCTGCTCTCAGAGCTTCTGTCTCAGGAGGATTACAGAAAGTCTATCAATGCTCGAAGTGGGTGGGGGGTCCCCGTAACTCCCTTGCGCACTGCTGCTGCACTGGGACATCTGAGGTGCCTGGAGCTGCTACTGGGGCACGGAGCAGAGGTGAGACTTTGTAGAGAGGATGATGAAATGTTGAGGGTGTAACAAGTTGCCTTCATTTTTTTATTAACAAAAATGACATTTTGGACTTGGACATCATGGATTTTCTTTCTTTTTATTTTGTTCAAAGGGAAGAGTAATAAAACAAGGTGTGATATTACAATATATTGCATCATTACATTTTACAATTTGGGCATTAAAGCTGGCGTAATGATTTTTTAAATTCGAACAATAGATCAAATTTTTAAGTGCAGTGTGGAAGCAGTTACTAGGAGTCACAAGACCAACACAGTCCAACTTCGCAGCACGTCTCAGTTCTGCAGAGCATCTATTAGATGCTTCTTTGGGTTTTTCAAGCTATTAACAATGTTTCTCTTTGTTTCCAGTGCATTCAGTGCACAAGCCAGCAGATGTCTATCAACAGATTTGCAGAATGAATTGATTATCTTCAGTCAAAGCCTAATCAGTAGCATTGGGGGGTTAGATTTCCCACAGCAGCAGAGCAGAGTCAACATTGTCAGTTCAGCATTTCACTTACAGTGAGCTACAGAGCTGCTAACCATATCGTACTGAAGTAAAGGTGACAGCTTGCGGTGGCACACATGTGGATGTTGGGTTGTGCAAATGATACCTTCACTTAGAAGGGTGTTAAACTGTGATCCAGTCACTTACTCGCATGCACACAGGACGGTATTTGATACTTACTCAGGGGAAAAGTACTTGCGGTGATAAATCAGTGGCGTAATTTCTTGTATCAACAAACTTTGTTTCTACTTTTAAAAAAGCCTGTTGGTTTCTTATGTCTGAATCCAGGTTGACAGCTTGGACGTGAAGGCCCAGACGCCTCTGTTCACAGCTGTCAGTGGGAAACATCTGGACTGTGTAGTTTCACTGCTGAATGCTGGAGCAGATCCCAATGGCAGCCAGTACAACAACTGCTCCCCGGTGCTGACCGCTGCCCGAGAGGGTGACGTCGACATACTCAGAGAGCTGCTTCGGTTTGGAGCTGAGGTAGATGTGAAGCCCAAAGTCCCCGAATGGGCCTCCAACGCCACAGCGTGCAGAGGGCCCCTCTACATCTCAGCTGTGTATGGACACTTGGACTGCTTTAAACTGCTCCTTCTTCACGGTGCAAATTCCAACTACAACTGCACAGATGAGAAAATGTTGGCCAGGATCAAACAGCCGAAGACAGTTTTGGAGGTGTGTCTCCGCTACGGCTGTGGGGTGGAGTACATTCAGCTTCTTATAGACTTTGGAGCAGACGTCTATCTGCCGACACTCATCATTGACAAAACCACTAAGCAGAACGAAGCTCTGCTTCTTCTCCTCAAGGAGAGAGGTGAGAGCGAGTCACACCCGAATTTAATTTAAAATCCTTCTCCTCACATACAAAATCTTGAATGATCAGACCCCATGATGATTTCACGCTTTCACGCTGTTGCTTTCACGCTGCAGCCTAACTTATTGTTCTTAGAGTTTCTGAAGTAGAATGGGAGACAGAGCCTTCAGACCCCTCGCCTCTGGAACCAGCTCCCAGTTTGAATTCAGGGGACAAACATCCTCTGTGCTTTTGAGATTAGACTCAAAACTTTCCTTTTGGGTTTTTTTTAATAAAGGTTATAGTAAGGATGGATCAGGTGACTTTCAACCATCACTTAGTTATGCTGTAATAGGCTCAGGCTGCAGGGGGCTGTCCCGTGATGCAATGAGGATTTCTTCTTTACTCTTTACATTTCACATGTGTTTATACACCACTGCTGCATGCCATTCAATTTTATATTCTCTCGTCTTTCTTCTTTACACGAACCAGTCATGGCAGAAATGCTGCCCCTCCCTGAGCCCGGTTCTGCCAGAGGTTTCTTCCTGTTCAAAGGAAGTTTTTTCTTCCTACAGTCACCATGCGCTCGCTCATAGGGGATCATCTGATGGTTGTGGTTTTCCCTTTAATACTCTGTGGGGTCTTTACCTAAATTGTCATAAAGTGCCTTTTGTTATGAGTTGGTGCTATAATACCTCAGCATACAAATGTTGTTTTCTGTTTCTTCAACAGTTTGCCCCAAATCTCTGATGTCACAGGCTCGACTGGCAATCAGAGGATACCTCCCTTTTGCTAACAAGGAGCCTGCAATTGACAGCTTGGACATTCCTCTGATCCTGAGAAATTACTTGAAACATGAAACCTCAGACGCCATGTGATGTTTTTCTTCTTTTTTAAAAATTTCCTTTCTTTTATACATTTTTTAAATTTTTACCAGAACAAGCTAAAGGACTGTTTTACATCCGAATTGTTTATAGCTGTGAAGTCAGATGATTTTCTTTCATGTCTATGAAGCTTTTAGAAGCAAAAGGAGGGCTCCATGTTGGAAAATCCACTGTATCTTTGGGAAGTGTAACAACATCAGTGGCCACTAGAGACCACAGTAACACCATACGTTGTGGATATCAAAATCTGAGGCTCCTCACAGGCACTATTGTTATTCTGATATTACCTCACTAAATCCACTTTGGCTCACTCCTTCACTCGGGTAACATTACACAGACACATGTAGTCACCTTACTTATTTAGACATCCAGACACACACACACACACACACACTGTCTGCACCACAACAGGATGTCTTAGATCTTGCCTGAAAAACATTCTTGTGTCTTTGGACTTCAAAACACCAGGAAGCAGAATGAAAAGCCTCCACTTCAGTGCCTCCAGCTGGGAGAATATATTTCCATAACACTCATTACTTATTGATTAGAGCATAATTATTTTCAGGATTCAATTTTAGTGTTTAGAAGTTTGTTGATTTAAAAAAAAAAGTTTTCTTTTGTGTGTGTGTGTGATTAGTGATTACCACTGTAATATTATTTATCGTACATAATATATCCTGGAGTTAATGCATCAACTGTTAGGAATGGGCCCTACAAACAAACAGGAGATGATGTCACACGACAGGAAGGCCAGCACAATGCTCTCACTCACAGACTGATGCCTCGAACCCTCCCCCCCGCAGTTCTGTAGTTTTATTTTCAACAAAAAGTACAGCTATATCAGATATGGATTGATTTTTTTTTACAGCAAAGTACAACATATTCCCAGTGCTTCTGATTACATCAAAACATATAATGTACATACAGTTGACATTTCCACTCTCCCATTCACAGTTTCTGGATTGAATAGGCATTATTTTTCAGGTTTTTCATCTCTACAACAAATAATCAAACTCAAAAGCCAGCAAGAAAGAAAATGATAAATGTTTGCATATGATGACAAAGGATATGGATTCTGTGAGTACATTTTTCACTTGAGAAAAAAAAAAAATCCAGACACCCCCCCCCTCCCAAACCAAACCCTGAAACCAGATGGTAATATACAATGAATAGTGTCCAAATGTGGGATGTCAGTCTTCTGTTTGTTGCCATTGAACACCAACATCGGCATATGGCTCATTGAAGACTTTTACCCTGACTATTCTGGAACAGCACAGGACTGCATAACTGACTCCAAGGAGTTCCTACTGAAGATGTTGCTATGCTAACTGTGAGTGAACGCGTCTACTGGCTCACCCTGGACTAGAAGGAATTACATAAATCTGTGCAACTTCTGATGCATTCAACTAACTTGGCCTTAGTTATATGACTGGAAAGAGAAAGCGAAAAAACAGAAATAAATTTGCACAGAAGGCTATCCTCTCAGCTCGGAGCACAAGGTCAGATTGATAGCTTTATAAGAAAACTCAAACCAGCGTATATACATCATTGAAACCATGTGGCCAAAATGGTACTGTTTAATACTGCTGTCAATAAATACAAGCGAGGAACTGCTTTGTAATGTCAAGTCATTGTACTTAAAAGGAACAAGAGTGTGATATGAACAGCTGTGAAATACTGTGTGTGTGTCTCTTCAGGATTATGTTTATTTTTAGCCCGTCCCAAGAGGTTTCGAATTTATTCAGCTCTAAATCTATACACAAACACCCAAGATCAGTGCTAACTCATATTTGGTTCACTGTTGTCGTAGAAAAATGATTACCCGTTTTGCCTCTGCACATAATGGCACTCCACAAAAAAATAAAACAAACCAAAAAAAGTCATATATTTAGGAAAAAAATATTAACCAGCAGTCTGTAGCATAGCAGTGTGGGTTTAAAACGATGCTAGAGTTTATAGTACCCATCATATCTGGGCTAAGAGAACATCAGTGCCTTTGATTTTCCTTATCAGCAGTTCAGTGTTTTATTCAGGAAAAGATGTTCCCCTCTTATGTGTCAATAAATAATAATAATAGTAATAATAGTAATACAAAAAACAGAAGCTACAACCTGTAATGCCAAGTGAGCAGGAGACAGGTGGACAGAGAAAAGAACTCCCTTTAGTGAGATGGTATGGGTACACACAAATGAATGGTTCTGTGTTGCCGGGGGGAAAAAAAAGAAAAGAAGATTCAATTGGAAGTTAAACAAAACTAAATGATCTCGTTAAGTGTTGCCTTAAGTCTCATGCAAAATATTGGATGCCACAAGCATGCAATTACCTGGTACTGAGATCTACCGCACGCTAGAACTGGAACAACATTCGTCTCCAACGCAAAATAACGATATCCAAATATATGATCTGTTCTTTTTACAATATTTACAGTGTGTAGCTGATAAAGGTAAAATAGATGACTCTTGATTCATAACTCACTTTTAATAATATAGATCGACACGCGAACCTAAGTTGACCAATGGAAATCTGCTTCCTACTATATATTCAAATTAAACTGTTTTTCAGCGTGTTAAATACACAATAAAAGAAGTCGATGTTTCTAAACATCTGAAATTGGAATACATTTCTAATGTGCAATAAAACTGCTCCTATGTAAATGTGCGATAATATATGAAAATGAGTCGTCTTTCAATTTTTAAATGGGTCGCAGTCAAACAGCACAGTATCTACTTATATGGAAAAAGTGGCCTGACCTCTAAGGCTACGTTCACACTGCAGGCTAAAGCACATCAAATCCGACTTTTTTGACCCTATGCGACCCATATCCGATCATGGTATGACAGTGTGAACGGCACAAATCCGATATTTTCAAATCCGATCTGGGTCACTTTCGTATGTGGTACTGAATCCGATACATATCCGATGTTTTAGAAAGCGACTGCTGAATGGTCATTAATTAAATGGTCATGTCGCATTAAATCTGTCTTTTATGTCACTGACACAAGACAGACACCAATTATCAGCGCCCGAGAAGACATCGCGAACGCTTCCTGGCCATCCAGTGTAGATGTCAGTGAAACTGTTGGGAAGACAACGTTGGAGAAATGTGAACATTTTATTAGTACTGTATAATCTGCAGATTCTGACAGAAGTCTTTAACTATCCTTTGAAGCACCGCTCCTCTCTAAAACAGCAATAAGGATAATTATTAGGCCAAATGTAAATAACAAAATAACTTTATAACTTAAAGCAAAAATGGGAAACGTAAAGTCTGAAACAGTCAAACAATACTGTTTGCTCTGGGTCTAAACAGAGCGCGTTGTGTGTGACGTCTTCTTTTGTGCATGCGGCCGCTTTGAGGGTTCACACTAGAGCGCGTTTGCTGTCGCATTTTATTTGTAGTGTGAACGAGCAGACAAAAAAAATCGGATTTGATCAAAAAATCGGAATTGAGCATTAAGACCTGCAGTGTGAACGTAGCCTAAGTTTCTGTCCGAGCGGCTCTCGTGCACTGGGGAACGAGGAATTCCCAGTGTGCATGAGGGAAGGGGCGGGGGTTGTGGGAACAGAACGGAAGAGAGAGTGAGAGATGCACTGAAGGGAAAATACATGACTAATTCAAATCTGCCTGTGAAACTGAATAGATAATCACTAGTGGAATGCTGGAAGGCACTGTTAGATAGCATCTCTCCTCTCCGCAGCAGAACGGGCCAGCAAGTAAGCATGATTATTAGTGTGTGCGTTTGCCTGCATGCTTGTATCTGTATGTTGGTACTGGTGGTAGTGTTAAGCAGGGAGTTGGAGGGAGCAGGGAAGGTAGGCAGAGCGGGCCATAACAAGGGACCTGAGGTTACGATAGCCTAGGAACCATATCTTTTTTTGCCGTCCCAGCCAGGAGAACTATCTTCCAAAACAATCTCACTGGGAGCCATCTCTACAGACACCAGCAGCCAACTCACCCAATTTCTCAACTTCCTTTACTGAAACAAAACATAAATTACAACATACAAAGCAATTGTAAGGTCTGTTTTTTCTCCAACAGGTTATAAGGCCTATAAGAAGGCAAACAAATGACATAGAACAATATAACTCTTTCATATCACGCTGTAGTGAATAGTGATAGATATAGAATGATATATCACATTGCACAAATTGTCAAACTGTATATGTACTGTCCATCTGGTGATATAATTCAACACAAAATGTACTCCTGTGTCTGAGGTCAAAACGTGGTCACAAACCGTGGACAGATGTTTCACTTACATTCCAAGTGTGGGAAAAAAAGAATACGTCTTCACGATGCATGTAAGATTTTCCTCTTCACTTCCTCAGATCTTCTCTTTTACTGCTGAAGGACTCTATAATGCTAGGATCTCTCGCAGACCACGGCTTCACACACGTTTTTGTTGATTAAACAAAACCAATCTGATCACGCCACAGTCCTTTGGAAATCACTTAAGCAGAGCTGGAGCTAACTGCCAGATCTGGGGGGAGTGGGGCAACGTGAGGAGGGGTGAGGCAGAAAGCAGAGGTTTGGAGCTGGAGTCTATAGAGATGTATGAATGTGTCAGAGGAAACCTGCATGCTACAGATTAAATTCGCCTTTCTACCTCCGTATACGGTATCGACTTGCGCTGCTGCGGTGGACTTTTTTGTTTCCCCAGTTAGTTTTGGTCCACTTCACAAATCATTATCACTTTTTTAGACACCCCCACCCCCTTGAATACTGGATGGGCTTCTTACTTATTGGTCACACTGACGTGTTGATATTTGTATCGCTCATACTCAAAACGGGAGTACGTGCTGTGCTTTTTTACAGTGGGAGTGACACAAAATAATCAACCGAAGTCTTTTCTTTGACAGCTGACATGTTATTCTTTTGGCCAATGCATCACAACTTCACTTTTACCGCTCGTTTTCTGGAGGTAGGCTGTGCTTTTTTCTCTCTTTTCCACCCAGGTGCCAGCACAGTGCTACAGGGGTGGTCTCTAGGGAGGGCGGGATGGGAGAGGGGCTGTGGCACAAGGCAGGCGGACCGTTGCCGGCCTATCTCCTGCTCCCAGCTGCTTCATCTAAGCTCACTGCCAAATCCAGCGCGCGCACACACCCCCTCAGCGCGATCGGACATGAATACCCTGTCACGAGTGGTTGGTGAACGGATGTAAATATACTATTGATGTTCCGCCTATTGATTTGTTCCCTGACCCATCATCACATCACGGCCAATGGCAGGTTTACAAAAGAGTGAAACTCTTCCTCTGAGAGCCACTGACTCACAGAGGCAGAGCAGGTGGATGGAGAGATAGAGAGGACGAGTGGGATGTGGAGAAGGAAGGGAACACCTAATGTCAGACTGTGAAAAGAAAGAGAGAGGAGGGGGCTATTATATGCAAGCTGCTACAGAGAAGAGAATGAAGCTCTGAGTGCGAGGAGGAGGTCCAGACGCAGACATCAGCAGCGCAGAGATGGCTGGATGGGTGCATGATCAGTGGCAGGATGGAGCTAACTCAGAGGTGAGGTTGACAGCCGAGCTTGGCAAGTCCTTCACAGGCCGCGGCGATCGGCTGAGGTCGTCGTCTCGCATTCAGAAGAATGCATCAAACAATCTCTCATAGCAGCACAGCAAGATCTCAGCTTTTTTTGTAGTTTTTTTGTTTTGGTCACAATCATACTACTGGGAATGACTTGGCTTGGCCTCGTGTTTCTATCCAGAAGATGGATTGAAAATGATCTCATGTAACAATCTCGATGACTTCAGGACATTCAGATGGCGTGATTATCCAGAAAGGGGGGAAGAGTTTGTGACAGTTGACTCAGCCGGAGAAGCATGATAACTAAGAATGTTACTAACATATATGAACTGTAAAGTTGTGTTTATTTTTTTATATGTTTTTTCTTTGTTTTAAATCCAAGTCTTCAGTCCTCTCGCAGCTTCCAATCACACTCTATATTAACATTGGTCCTTAACTTCAAAGTCTCGTGTTTGTGTGTTGTTTTTTTTTTTTTTCTTCATCATGGGGGGGGGAGGGGGGACATGATCATCCAGTGTTTAGTGCTTCTAAGAAAAATAGCTGGTCCATCGGAAGAGTCTGTGTATCTCTATTTCTTAAATGGAGCTAATCTACTAAAATTCTGCCAGAAAGGAGCCTGGCCTCTTTTGGATTGACTGAATTCAAAAACCTCT